AAACCACCTCCCCCACCAGGTATCCACATGGTTCGCCAACGCCCGGCGGAGGTTAAAGAAGGACAACCGTCTAGTGTCCGGGGATGGCGAAGGAGAGGACGACTGTACAGAACCAGACAGCGACAAGGAAGGCGACGCCGACAGTGTGTCTGCAGATGTGTCTGTCAGTGTGGACGTGGACGATAAGAGCTCTATTCGGAGTAACGGTAAGAGAAACTGTGCTGCTAGTCGCACTTATCATCATTATCATCATCGCCTTTCTCACCCTGAACCAGGGTATAGGCCACGGACAAACACTTTCCACTTTTCTCTATCCTGGGCTAGCCTCTTAATGTTATTCAATGTCTTCCCACTTTTCTGTACATCAATTTCTGTAATTCTTCTCCAGGTTCCACGCGGTCTTCCCCTTGATCTGTTACCCTGTGGATTCCTATCCAACACTTTCTTTGCTATGCAGCTGCCTGACTTCCTGAGAGTGGGTCCAATCCATCGCCACCGCCTCCTTAGTCGCACTTATGTGATGACCTAATTGTGTTGCAAATTGCCGAAAAACTCGTACTGAAACGAAACTAAGCTGCGTGCTAGTGGGTGGATGGGGTATAGGTTTTTTGTGGTATAATGGTGTTATTGTTATTATTGTTGCTGTAGTTTGTGTTGCGTGAATTTGTTGTTGTTGTTGTTGTTATAATAATTCTTATATTTCTTTTTTCTTCTTCTTCTTCTTCTTCTTCTTCTTCTTCTTCTTCTTCTTCTTCTTCTTCTTCTTCTTCTTCTTCTTCTTCTTCTTGCTGTTTTTTTTTGGGGGGGGTAGTGGGATAGGGTTAAAAAACCACGGTCCCCTCATTTTTCAGTTCTCCATTGTTAAGGCGCGCCTGACAACAAGAAGGATAATTGTCACACCAAAGTCCGCCAAGTGTCTTGTTCCTTCCCCCGCTGGACGCATCACGGTTACCGCTGGCTTTGCTTGTTTGCTTTTTGCTTTCATAGAAACTGGACGTCACACTTTGTGATTTCAAAACGTCAGGGATATCCGGTGGCGTGATATAGTCGACTTGAGTCTGAACGTGGGCATTTATTTACGTGTGTGTGTGAGTATGTGTGTGCGTGTTTGTGAGTGTGTGTCTGT